ATGTTTTATCCACCAATTGACTTAGTTTCGATTTGTTTAAGATGAAGATGATATATATAAATCAAATAAGAATTCAATAACAGAAACAAGAAGTGAAATTACTAGAAACTTTAAAGAAATTAATCAAGGTTTAATAGGCTAGGAATTAACGCTATCCATATCCCTTATCAATCTTTCTAATGGGTTCAATACGACTAAGGCTCTAGATATCCAATGGTGTTAGTTATTGTCTCTCAAGCAACAACTAAACTATCGACTTAAAGAAACATGAGCAAAATTATAGTTTCTCAACTAATAACTCCAAACCTAAATCACTTCAATCAATTCCTTAAGCAATCTTTCGAGCAATTAATCAGCAATCACGATCTCTCCATAACTATCAATTAATCTAATGTTTATAAGTCTATTATGCAACAATTCTTATTGAAACATAACACGAATCATCCAATTCAATTTCTCAATTGCAATTAGAGCATAAAGCACAATAAACATCACAAAGCTAATATTAATCCCAAAAGATTAACATCAAGAAATGTTTTAAGAGTTAATCCCTAATGAAAATTTAACAATCTATCATCATGATTGACAATAACACATTAAACACTTAGAGTCATAAAAGAAGACCAAAAGATGAAAGAAAGAACTCTTGAATGTTGCTAAGAACTTCTTCTAATCTTCTTCCTTTTCATTTTTTACAACAAACGCTCCATGAGTGAAAACTTGAACCACTTCAAATGGCTCGCTCCATCTCGATCTCAACTTCCCAAGGAACAACTTGAGCTTAGAGTTAAAGACCAAAACTTTGTCACCCATTTTGAACTCTTTCTTCTTAATGTGTGCATCATGCCACCTTTTTATCTTTTTCTTATATAATCGAGCATTCTCATAAGCATTGAACCTCATCTCCTCAAGCTCATTTAGTTGCAAACGTCTTCTTTCTCTAGCTTTGTTGAAATCAAAATTTAAGGTCTTGATTGCCCAAAAAGCCTTGTGCTCCAATTCTATCGAAAGTTGGCAACCTTTCCCATAGACAATTCTATATGGAGTCATACCAATTGGCATTTTGAATGTCATTCGGTAAGCCTACAAAGCATCATCTAGCTTACTTGTCTAATCCTTTCTTCAATTATTAATTGTTTTCTACAAAATCTTCTTTAATTCTCGATTCGTGACCTCAACTTCATCGCTTGTTTGTGGGTGGTATAGAGTTGCCACCTTGTGATGTACACCATATTTCTTCAAAAGACCTTCCAACCTTTGATTGCAAAAGTGTGTTCCACCATCACTAATGATTACCTTTGGCACTCTAAATCTCACAAAGATCTTCTCTAAAAATTTAATGACTACCTTGCCATCATTTGGTAGGACTTACCAAAGCCTCAACCCACTTTGACACATAGTCAACTCCCACCAAAATGTATTTGTTCCCAAAAGAAGATGGGAATGGAACCATGAAATCCAACCCCCATACATCAAAAACTTCTACCTTAAGAATACTTGAAAATGGCATTTCATCCCTTTTATTAATGTTCCTAACTCTTTGACATCGATTACAATGCATTGCAAACTCCTTTACATGTTTAAATAATATTGGCCAATAGAACTCACACTCTAACACTTTAGTAACTATTTTATTAGCACCATAATGATCGACATAAGGAGAATCATGGCAATGTGTGAGAACATCTAACATCTCATCTTTTGAAACACATCTCCTTATCAATCCATCTCGTATAAAGTTTATAAAGAAAAGGCTCTTCCCAAAGATAATGAGTAGCATCAAAGAAAAACTCTTCTTTTGTTGATAAGTTAAATCGGATGGTATTAAACCACTTATAAGATAATTAGCCAAATCAACATACCGGGGAGTTTGCAAATGTTGGATTAAAAGAATGGAATCATCCGGAAATTGCTCATTAACCTCCTCCTCCCTTTTTGCACTCTCCCTTTCAAGTCATGATAAGTGATCCGTCAAAAGTTCTTGGCTCCCTTCTTATCTTTTATCTCCAAGTTAAATTCTTGAAGCAAAAGAACCCATCGAATGAGCCTTAGCTTTGAGTCTTTCTTTGTAAAAAGATACTCAAGAGCTCCATGGTCGATGTATATAATAACCTTTAAACCAATAAGATAAGGTCTAAATTTATCACAAGCATACACTATCGCTAAAAAATCTTTCTCGGTTATGGTGTTGTTCAATTGGGCTCTCGTCAAGGTTTTACTTACATAGTAGATGACATGTAACTTTTTGTTCTTCCTTTGGCCTAGAACACAACCAAGAGCTTGATCACTTGCATCACACATGATCTCAAAAGGAATGCTCCAATCCGGAGAAGTTCATAATGGTGCGGTCACTAAGGCCTCCTTCAACTCGTTAAAAGCATTAAGACAAGAAGAGTCAAAGTTAAAAGGCACATCCATTACTTATAAATTAGCAAGTGGCCTAGCAATGAAAGAGAAATCCTTAATGAACCTAGGTGGTAGAAACTAGTATGGCCTAAGAAAGCTTTAACTCCTTTCACATTTATTGGTGGAGGAAGTCTTGTTATCATATCAATTTTAACTTTATCAACTTCAATCCCTTCCTTGGAAATTTTATGCCCAAGTACAATGCCTTCTTCCACCATGAAATGGCACTTCTCCCAATTGAGGACCAAGTTAGCCTCTTCACACCGATTGAGCACTCTCTTTAGATTTTCCAAGCACAACTCAAATGAATTCTCAAACATCAAAAAATCATCCATAAACACTTCCATAATTTCTTCAATCATATTTGCAAAAATGGCTATCATACACTTTTGAAAGGTGGTCGGTGCATTACACAACCCAAATGGCATACGCCGATAAGCGAAGTTGCCATAAGGACATGTAAAGGTTTTTTTCTCTTGGTTTTCTAGATAGATAAAAATTTGATTGTAACCTAAAAATCAAAGAAACAATAGTAAGAATGACCTGCAATTCTCTCAATCATTTGGTCAACATATGAGAGGGGAAAATGATCCTTCTTTGTGGTCGAGTTCAACTTCCTATAATCAATTTATACTCTCCAATCTAAAACTATTCTAGTGGAAATTAACTCTCTTTTTTCATTCTCTACCACTGTCATTCCTCCTTTCTTTGGAATACATTGCACCGGGCTCACCCATTCACTATTTGAAATTGGATAGATAATTCCCGCATCGAGCAATTTGATAACCTCTTTCTTTACCACCTCCTTCATGTTAGGATTCAATCTCCTTTTCTCTCTCTCATCATCTTACATCCTTCTTCTAAATGGATTTTATGCATCACTACATCTGGATTAATACCCCTTATATCCAAGAGTTGCCACCCAATAGCCCCTATCTTACTCTTCACTACTTCTACCAACCTATCTTCTTGCTTTTTTGATAAATTACTAGACACAATGACAGGTAGAGTGTCTTCCTTACCCAAGAAAGCATACCTAAGGTGACTTGGTAAAGGCTTAAGCTCAAGTGTAGGTGGCTTGACGGTTGATGGAGGTGTAAGGGTATCCGTCCTCATTAGTAACTCTAATGTAGTCGTTTCCTCCTCCACACTAACTACCACTCGGCTTTTCTTCTTCAAAAATGTCTTTCTTTTTCCTTTTTTATTCCTCTTCTATAACACACTCCTCAATCACATCCACTCTCATGCAAATCTCCTTTTTCATAAGATGTTTCATAGCTTTGCTCATGCAAAACTCCATTTGTTCCTCTTCTATCCTCAACACGAGCCTTCCCTCATACACATCCACCAAGGCTCTTTCGATGTTCAAGAATGGCCTCCCAAGGATCAAAGGATAATTCTTATCCTCATCATAGTCTAGCACCACAAAATCCATCGGGATGATGAATTTGTCCACCTTCACCAAGACATCCTCAATCATAACATAAGGTCTCTTAATTGATTGGTCGGCTAACTCGCAACAACATTGGAGTTGGCTTTACCTCTCCCAAGCCTAATTTTTTGAAAATAGACAAAAGCATGAGGTTAATACTTGCTCCCAAATCACATAAACATTTAGTAAATTCTAAGTGACCAACAATACAAGGAATTGTAAAACTCCTTGGATCTTGAAGTTTTGAAGGCATTTTACTAGAGATAATGGAGTTATAATTCTCTGTTAAAGACATCGTTTGGTTTTTATCCCAAGTCCTCTTGTTTGATAAAATGCCCTTAAAGAATTTTTCATACTTGGGTATGTTCTCCAACACCTCCACAAAAGAAAGGTTGATTTGCAATTTCTTCAATTTCTCTAAAAATTTGGCGAATTGAGTGTCAAGTTGTTGTTTCTTTAACCTTTGAGGAACAGGAACTTTAGGCACAAAGGAAGAGGATTGAACATCCGACTTGCTTACTTGTTTTCCTTTCTCACTTTCTTTCTCCTCAATTGGTTTTTTTCCTTTCTTCTCAACTAGGGTGCACTTACTTCCTTACCACTCCCAAGAGTGATTGCCTTCAATTGTTCCCTCGGATAAGATTTTGTGTTGCTTGGCAAACTCTCAAAATTCCCGGTTGACAAAGCATTGGCTAATTGCCTAACTTGCACCTCCAAGTTGTGAATAGATGAAAAATAGTTTTTAACAATGTGATCAAACTTCACCTCCATTCTCTTCCGAGCCTCTTCTTGATTAGTCAACTTACTCCCTATTGTATCAATGAATTTATCCATCTTGGACTCAATAGAGAAAAGCTGATCTTGTTAAGGAGTTTGTTGAAATTCAAATGGCCCTTGGGGTCTAACCATGTTTCCCGCATTGCTAGACTAAGAAAAGTTTGAGTGGTCTCTCCAACATGGATTATATGTATTAGAATAGGGATTATTCCGCACTCTTCCTTATTGAACCCCCATAAAATTAACTTACTCGTCACTTACTCTACCTCCTAAGAAACAATTTGTAGCAAGGTGCCCAACTTGGCCACATAGCTCACATGGACTTTGAATGGCAGCTATTTGACTTGAAGAACCTATTCTCATGTCATTTATTTGCTTTGACAATTTAATCACTTTCACTTGCAATGTCTGTCATCGGATCGAGGGAAAGAACCCTCTTTTGTTCTTTCACCGGTGTCCTGGTCCTCTCCGTTGTCCATAGAGAATTATTAGTTGCCATTTCCTCGAGGTGATCATACACGGCATCAACTATTTTTCTCATCAATAAACCACCTACTCGCCACATCAATGGTTCTTCTTGTAGTAGGATTGACTCCATTGTAGAATGTTTATAACAATAGCTCCCTTGGCAAATTATGATATGGATAACTCCATTGTAATTCTTAAATCACTCCCAAACTTTATATAAGGACTCCCATTCGACTTATTGAAAAGTGGTAATCTCCTTAATAATCCTTATCGGTTTTGCTAAAGGAAAATAGTTGGCTAGGAAAGCTTGAGCCAATTAATCCCATGTGTTGATAGAACCCGAAGCCAATGAGTTCAACCATGCCTTGGCTCGATCCTTTAGAGTGAAAGGAAATAGGTGAAGCCTTATTGCATCGTCGGACACACCATTATACTCGAATGTGTCACAAATCTCCAAGAAATTGGTGATGTGAGCATTTGGGTCTTTATTGGCCAACCCATATAATTGCACGGTTGATTGAAGCATTTGGAGTAACGTCGATTTTATCTCAAAATTATTGGCATTAACCGGCGGGTGTGCAATACCACGTTGGTTTGCGTTGAAACCCGACCTCACATACTCTATGAGAGTTCTTTGTTGGCCCACTTAATTCCCTTCTTCCTCTATCATTTTGTCTTTTTCTTGGTGGATTTCTCTTCTAAGATCCCTCTCGTGTCTTCTAATTTACGGGATGTATGCTACTAGTGGTTATTGCGACCTTTTCGATCTCCTCTTTGGCATAAACATGAAATCACGTCGAAGCTAGAGATTTAATCACAACAAAAAGAAAATTGAATTCTTAAATCAAGCCAAACTAAATTAACATAAATGTTAAACATAATAGTCCTTGGCAACGGCGCTAAAAACTTATTGGTTTCGTAAGAGCACGGATCGCTCAAATAGTATAAGAAGATATCATTCCCATGAAGACTATGTTTTATCCACCAATTAACTTAGTTTCAATTTGTTTAAGATTAATAAGATGAAGATGATATATATAAATCAAATAAGAATTCAATAACGAAACAAGAATTGAAATTACTAGAAACTTTAAAGAAATTAATCAAGGTTTAATAGACTAGGAATTAACGCTATCCATATCCCCTATCAGTCTTTCTAATGGGTTCAATATGACTAAGGCTCTAGATATCTAATGGTGTTAGTTATTCTATCTCAAGCAACAACTAAACTATTAACTTGAAGAAATATGAGAAAAATTATAGTTTCTTAACTAATAAACCCAAACCCAAATCGCTTCAATTAATTCCTTAAGCAATCTTTCAAGCAATCAATCAACAATCACGATCTCTCCATAACTATCAATTAACCCGATGTTTATCGATCTATTATGCAACAATTCTCATTGAAACATAACACAAATCATCTAATTCAATTTCTCAATTGCAATTAGAGCATGAAGCATAATAAACATCACAAAGCTAATATTAAACACAAAAGATTAACATGAAGGAATGTTTCAAGAGTTAATCCCTAATGAAAATTTAGCAATCCATCATCATGATTGACAATAACACATTAAACACTTAGATTCATAATACAAGAACAAAAGATGAAAGAAAGAACTCTTGAATGTTGCTAAGAACTTCTTCTAATCTTCTTCCTTGATTCTTGGGCTCCCTTTCTTCTTCTTCTTTTGTTTCTTTATTTTCTTGCTCCTAAAAACCCATCTTTTTTCCCATATGTCTTATGGCTTTCTTTTATATTCACTCGAGCTGCCCCAAAGGATGGCTCTTAAGTGACTTGTCATAATGTCATGGTTTTGGTCGTGCGGTGTTACACAATCGTGCTTAAATCGGTTTAGTTGCTTCGTTGCGATCGTGCAACACTACATGATTGTGCATTATGCGGCTAGTATAATTTTTATGATCCAAACGTCCTCAATCTGCAATAATCACCATAAAAATAGAGAGTAACAACCCAACCCACTTCTTTAACTTTTAAAACTTAAAATTAAAGATTCTAATGATTATTAAAAACATAAAAGAAACTCCTAGGCATAATTACTATCATAAAAACACACTTAAAGACACATTAAAAGTACTCATATCGATGTGAATGTTGCTTGGATAGTAAAACAATAATTTTTGACATTAAGGATTCACCATAAATGAAGCCTACTATTTTGATGAATAAGATCTTAAGAGAACATGAGTTTAATGTCATTGTTGATTTATGTTATATGATATTGAGACGTGGAAAACAAATGATTAGAGAAAAGGACATTGAGTAATATGTTATGTTGTGAAAGTATGTTGAAACAATCAAAAAGTTTAATCTTGAAAGTATAGTGAAGATAGATCCCTCTAATAGGATACTTGAGAGATTTTATATCTGTCTTAATACTTGTAAATAAGTTTTTAATGCCGATTATAGGCTAATATTTTCCATTAATGGCTATCATCATAAGGGAGTATTTAAAGGGTTACTACTTGGATATTGTAAGGAAAGATGCTAATGATAACATCGTTTCTATAGCTTGATCAATTTTTATGTTTAAAATAAAAAAATTAAATAGTGGTGGTCTCTTGAATTACTATTGGATGATATTAGATCAATATAAGAGAAAGGTTAGATTTTTTTTTCCTAACGGAATGAAGGTTTGTTTATCTTTTTTTTTTTTTCATTTAATTTTTAATAATGAAGGTTTGTTTTTGAAGTAATATCTAAAATTTTTATGTTGTAAGGGTTAACCGAGATCTTTAAACATAAATTAAGGGGGGTGGATCGTAGGTTTTGTATCGGATACCTCTACACTAACTTTAAAAAGTATCAAGGGTCTAACAAAGTATTGAAAAATCACCTATGGAATGCTTCTAGAGCTTATACTATCAATAAATTTAAGCATCGCATGAATGAAAATAAAAGAGTTAGATGTTGCTGAAGGATCATGCATCCTACGGAGGTGTGGAATAAAACAAAAATTTTCCTTCATCTAAATAACCCAAGATCATGTCGTTAAATCAATTAATCATACATTTATAAATTAAAGTGTTAAGTAAAGAATTATCTCTTATCGAATAGATTTAAACCTTTGTAAAAAAAGAACCATCAAAGTGTTGGACCTCTATCGATAATCCACACGATCCAAACACCCACAAAAGAAGCACTCAAAATTGGTAGAGTGCTAGCTCCACCTTTTCCGACTTGTTTAGTGTTTTCCTTTTGAAATCTTATCGGGGTAATTTTATGATAATCCTAAGAAAGAAAGTGAAAGTGGCATGTGCTAGGGTTTTTAAGGAAAAAACTATTTTCTCCTTTATTTTTCCGAATGTCATGTGCCTTATATTTCTTCTCTTTTGCTATTTTTCTCTCTCTTTTAATTCTTGCATGTTGTCGCATCTCTATTCCTATTTATAGGAGGGAGTTTTCCTTATCCTCCAAGGACAATTAGGGGCAGCAACTAGTCCTAAAAAGGACTTTTGGTTGTTGCTTTCTAATCCTTTAAGGATTAGGAGTTATTATGCATATGAGCTTTTTGATCTTATCATTTAAAACATTCATCCTTATCCAATAAGGTTCATATTTTTCCCCCCACCAAAATATCTTTCAAGCTTTTAACTAAACCCATTAGCCTAAACTATTTTGGCCCAATTAATTAATTTGAACTATCCAAATACATTAGGTTAGATAATTTTAAAAGGCCCAAATTAGAAAATAATTTTTCAAAATACCCTTAAATGTAAATTAGGAAACTAATTTCCTTTTAGGTCATTTACTTTCAAATTTAGAACTGACTTCCAAATTAGAAAACTGATTTCTAAAATAGAAAACTTTCCATTTTAGGAAAATTTTTATTGTAGGAAGCTTTTCATTTTCGTAAACTTTTTCTAAAATAGGAAACTTTCAAAATTGAAAAAAATTTCTAATATTTTTGCTTCTATTTTTTTTATGTGAATGCTTAAACTTATGCATGTGACTCAATATGCTCCTAGATATATTGACAATATATCAAGAATAAAAGACACCTCTTTTATCTCTTGATAAATAAATCAAGATTCATCTCTAGCAAGACGTCATGACTAACCAATTCTATAAAAGAATTAATTAATCCGTAGTTACCTTTCACAATCACGGTTACTATATAATTTAGTCCTCATGTTAACTTATCATAATGTGATCTCGAACTTGGTTATTATTCTTTTTCAATTACGATCACATAATTTTTCTTCGATTCCTAAATGTCTTAGCTCTTAGAGTAAGCCAACTATGCTCTATTAATGTACTTCTGCTATGGTCATAGATTTCTTGAGCGGACATTCATCGAAGTATAATGTGATAACTCCTTTAGCATACAAGAAATGACATGTCTTATCTTAGTCATCCACCTACCTCTATTAGATTCCTAATGCACTCAATGAATCACCCACGTATAATCCTTTATCGGGTCCATCAAAACAAGTGTCAAAGTACATAAATCTTTTAAGGAGATAAGTGTGATGACTTCAAGTCTAAGAACCATTTGTATCTATCTCATATGAGATTCCCACAAACTAAACCAAATGAGTTCTCATGACTAGTCAAGTCCAATGATATATTTTGTAACATAAATTACCTAAGTGCTTGCTTTGGCATCATCATACCAATTAGTGTGAGATCTTTTATCGCTAACATATAGCATGAGCATAGCACTTATAAATCTAAACACGTATAGTCAATGTCTATTCTTAACAATGTTATGACTTGGAATATTTAATAACATCGTTTACATTTATTAGTATTTATCTCACATCTTTCGATCAATCACTAATGCAAATGCATATCATATGCACTTCTATCTAATTCTATTCAATAAATAAATAGAAAACATAAGAATTAATAGAAAGATTTCTTTATTATTAATAAAATAAGTGATGTAATACTACAATAACTCAAACTCATCCAAACATGGTTAGATCTTGAGCACCTATACTAACGAGTTGCATCATATTCGGACATGGTGTAGGCATACATTCGGTAAAGAACCAAAGTGTGACTTATTGCTCAACAATATAGGAAAAATCTTTAACTCCTGTGTACTTGAAGCCAAAGATAAGCCAATTATCACCGGGCTTGAAACTATAAGGAGAATG